GGGGTTATTGTTGTGTGTGTTTTTGTTTGTTTGTTGGGTTATTTTTTACTCTTGTAATTATTACACGGCGACCCCGTCCCCCTTCAATCACAAATATCGTATCGTGACTTCTATTCACGATAGATGGGTATTTTTTTTCACCGAAAATAAGATACACAAGCGATCTTTGAGATTGTACCAAGAACTCCTCATGCTCAAAAATTGACGAGCGTGTCATGATATGATAATGACATATTAATACGGATTGTTCTCCAGTTTCTGGGAGACTGGTATGAGTATGAAAGATTCCCTAACAAGGCTGAGAAACACCTGGTATGTGTTGGAAACGCCTTCACCGACACAGGCGACGAAAAAATGCATTTGATTCAGTCTGCAATGCGGGAGGTTAGAGAGTGAGTTACAACAGTTTTCATGGCGTCGTATTGGCCTTCGTCGTTATTATTGTTGTCGTCGTTGTTCTTGTTGTTGTATTGTTGTAATGATTACTGTTGTTGTTGCTGTGTTGTTGTTCTGTTGTTGCTTTTGTTGTTGTTTTTATTTAATTCTTACGGCTGTTGCTGCCGTCGTTTATGTAGTGGATGTTTGGTGAGCGTCAACGGTAAGTCATACTTTTAACTTTCTCCCACGTGTTTCTGTTCGTTTGTCTTGCTCTTTAATAGCCATTAACTTATCCATACTAATATTTTTCATATAGCCCATATCCACATAATATACAGCAGATGCTATGTGCGCATTACAAACATTTTTTACCCCAGCAGACTCAAGAACACTCAGAAATATTCTCACTTCCCTGGGAAGCATACAGTGCAAGCAACGGATTATACGTGCTAAACAACTAACAAACTGACAAGATGTTTGGGTAGGGAGTCTGTAGGATGGGTACTTGAAGTAGACACGATAACTCTAGTTTAAGAAGAAAAAAAGGAAAAACCAGGGCACTGCAGAATAACATGTTTGTTAAATTGTTGTCTGAACATATGTCATATTGTGAGCTGCATAGCGTAGACTAGAAACACATTATAATCCTATTCAGAAAATTTCAACTTACCATTATTCACCGAGACAATTAGATCTATTTGCCATTGATATAAATCTTGAACTGTTGTATGTATAAATTTACCTTCCTTTGTAATCCAGATTTCTATAATATTGAGGTCGATAATACAAGTGTTCTTTATCTTTTAATGTATTCATTTAAAAGGTTGAATAAATTATATTGTCTTGCTTGGAGTGGATACGTTCAGCCTAAAAAGACTTGTGCCTAAAGTAATTTGTTTGACCTTTTATTTTATTGAAGCTGAAAGGAAATCTCAAACCAACTATTTACATCTTATGTAAATGAAGGATTTACAAGATTAGTAAAGGAAACATTAACTACTGAGACTTTTTCGACAGACAACACATTAGGACTAATTATCTGGTGAGGCAACGGTCTGGAGCACTCATGGCCCTAACCAGGGTGTAGTTCTCTTTTTTATTTATAAAAAAAAAACATCTAGGCCTCCTTGAAAGAACAAACATCAGAGGACCCCGATTAGCTATGAAGATGCAAAAGACTAATACTGCTATTTCTTTTTTTTGTGGGAGTTTCTGTGGGTGCCGGTGGTACTGCATACTTCTTAAGTTTCCCTCTGCTGAGTCTGTTTGTCTTGCTCTTTCACAGTACTGTATTACATGACCGTTGACATAATTATCTATTTGATCAACCTATCTTAGGTTTGGAGAGGTTGTTTTCCGGTACCCCGTCATCACGTCCGCTACTGCCTCCCCATTAAACGAGGAAGAGCCTGCTAGATTGAGGATTTCGTACACCCCAGGTACAGATAGGATAAGATAGATAAAATAAGATAACATAATATAGGATAAGATAAGATAAGGTAAGAAAAGATAAGATAAGATAATGATCATACAAGAAAAAGCTCTGAGCATATTTCTACAGGATAAGATATGATAAAATACTAGTGATGGCAATTTTGGCGCTGTTCTTGTAGCAACAAGGTTATGTTTACTTTCCTAGAAAAGAAATGTACACACACATACACACACACATATATATATATATATATATATATATATATATATATATATATATATATATATATAGATTCATTCGTACTATTTACAGTGATATTTACTAAACACACAGTGCTACAAATTAAACAAACACATGGAGAGGGGGAAATAGAGAGAGAGAGAGAGAGAGAGAGAGAGAGAGAGAGAGAGAGAGAGAGAGAGAGAGGCAGAGAGACAGAGAGACAGAGAGACAGAGAGGGGGGCAGACAGACAGACAGACAGACAGACAGATAGAGACAGGGAAAGGAGAGAGAGGAGAGAGAGGAGAGCGATAGAGGGGAAAACAGACAGACAGACAAATAGACAGACATATAGACAGATGGGGGAGCGAGAGCGAATACAGGTTTGGGGTGGATGTTTATGGAGTGAAGTTTTTCAGCACATGATATCAAAATATGCGTCCGTTCTTGTTGTGAGTGTGCCATGTGTCCACAAGGACTCTGTAGCACCACTGCCTTGAGATAAGATAAGATACATCTTAATTGTCCAGATCTTGGCACATTAGTTTGGTGTTTCACCACGCACACACACACACACACACACAAACACACACACACACACACATATATATATATATATATATATATATATATATATATATAATATATATATATATACACTCACACACATATACACACACATGCACACACGCACATACACACACGCACACACACGCACATACACACACATATACACACACGCACACACGCACATACACACACGCACACACACACGCACAAAAAATCACAAACACAACCAAACACGCGCAGGCTTACAGTCGCATGCATAATATAAATGAACAGTAATAGTAATAATAATATAAATAAACAATAACATTCTTAAGCTACGTACCTACTCGACGAAACGTTCCGTTTACAATAACATGATATCAAAGTCAAAAACATCTAAAAGTCTCTTTCGCCTTGTTTATTCACTTTGTGGAAAATCTAAATCTGCTTCTATTCCTTGTGCTTCTCCCACAGGAGAGCTCGCCAATAACTTTGGAATATTCTTTGTGGAAAAATTTGCTACTATAAGAGACACATTAGATAAACACGGTTTATTTGCACCTGAATTTGAGGAGTTCCACTATGTAATTTAAAACCTGTTTCACAGGACTCAGTGAAAGAGATCATAATGTGATCATCACCACCGAAGTCCTGCTACCTTGACTCTATCCCAACACCTTTATTAGTCAACCATCTTGACGTTGTTATTGATGTTGTGACAGCTATTATTAATGATTCACTCCTTTCAGGAACAGTCCCTTCGTGTTTTAAGCACGCAGTCGTAACACCTCTACTAAAAAAACAGTTGTTATCCCCGCATTAGTTTAAAAACTACAAGCCGGTCTCTAACCTACTATTTTTGTCTAACATCTTAGAAAAAGTTGTTCAATCTCAATTAAGAGCACATCTTGAAGTAAATAATCTTTTAGAATGTTATCAGTCGGCCTACAGAGCGTTTCATAACACAGAGACTGCACTTTTAAAAGTCCAGAATGGCTTCCTTTGTGAAGCAGACGAAGGCAAATTGTCTGTTCTTGCCTTACTCGATCTAAGTGCTGCATTTGATATCATCAATCATTCAATTTTGATCAGGAGGTTAGGCCATAGCTTCGGCCTATCTTGGACTGTTCTTGAATGAGATGACTTAAATGTGGCATTGTCATTGGCAAAAGTCGTACTGAAATGACTGAACACGCATTAAAACTGAGAGATCAAGGGGAAAAACCACGTTGAACCTTGAGAAAAGCCAACGAGAATTGTGTACTGAAAAGTGGAAACATTTAAAATAATATCAAGAGCCTAGCACAGGACAGAGAAAAATGGAAAGTGTTCGTAATCGACACCCTGATACAGAGTGAGAAGGGCTGTGATGATGATGATGATGATGATGATGATGATGATGATGATGATGATGATGATGATGATGATGATGATGATGATGATGATGATGGTATAACTCCAGGCCTACACGAACATCGGGTTAAATATGACAAACCTTATCCAAGTCTCAAGTATATATTTTTTTTCTTCTTTAAAACATGATGATGATGATGAGGAGGAGGAGGAGGAGGAGGAGGAGGAGGAGGAGAAGGAGGAGGAGGAGCAGGAGGAGGAGGAGGGGGAGGAGGAGGAGGAAGATGAGGATGAGGATGAGGATGATGAAGGTGACGATAATGACGATGTAGGTGATGGTGATGGTGATGATAACATTAACACTGCTTGTGATACAAATTATACCCACAGCTTTAGAGAGACCACCTCTGGATCTCTATGTAGTAGAAACTGACTACACCGTTTACGCCCTCCTCTTCTCCTGTACAGAAATCTCCGAGTTCATTAACATCCGTACGTATGAGTCAATGGTGTGTCATTCCATTTGTGTGGCATTGTGGTCAAATGAGACGCTCGTCAAACCAATGAAATCGAAGAAACCAACATTTTTCTGTCAGCTGGGCGGAGGTTTTTTTATAATCCATTTTTTTGTGTGTGTTTTTTGGCTCAACACATTTTATGTCCATTTAAAAACACATTCCTGTGTGAATTTAACTATTGAAAAACGTTGATAAACGATACGAGAAAACATAATAATTTGACGTTTCTTAGGACACTAGAGCTTTGGGAGGCACCAAACTAAGGAGGTCATTAATTTTTCTCGCTAATTTCACCCCTGACACAAGGCAACTCCCACCTCTTTAAATCACAATTATCTCTCGACTTCTGTTCAAAATAGATTGGTACCATTTTACTTCAAAAGCAAGGCAAATAAATATGCGTTAAGAATGTATCAACTACATTTTATGTTATGGTTAACTGATTCTCAAAATAGATACAAAAATAGTTATACAAGTATTATGAATCCTTACTTCTTTCAGAAAGAGCCTGGATTCTAACAAGGATCGCTGGAATGCCGCCCCTAAACATCTTAGCCCTGAAGTCCTACTTGGTGAGATACGCTGTGGAGGTGAAATACTTCCAGTCTTCTCACCAGGAATATTGTAGACACGACGTCCCTATGAATATGAAACTTGTACGCTAAAGGTTTCAGTCATAAATACACGTATTTATTGATATTCATATTTACATCTATGTGTTTTTAGTGTTAGTATGAATGTGCTTGTGTGTGTATGTATGTGTGCGTGTGCATTCGTGTGTGTTTGTGTGTTTGTGTGTGTGTGTGTGTGTGTGTGTGTGTGTGTGTGTGCGTGTGTGTGTTTGTACTGAACGCCATTGCCAGAGCTAGTGCAGCCTTCGGCAGACTGAAGGACAAGGTCTGGGAGCGAAGGGGACTGAGCCTTAACACCAAGATCAAAGTGTATAAAGCAGTAGTTCTACCATCCCTGCTCTACGCCTGCGAAACGTCGACAGTCTACAGCCGGGGTGCCAAGCAGCTCAATGCCTTCCACATGAGATTCCTCAGGACCCTTGCTTCGTATCAAGTGGCAAGATTTAACTAGATGATGACACGTCGTGGTTTCAAAAAACATTTCTAGCTTTTTAACTTTGTTTCATTGCAAGATGCCTCCGCTGGGCAAAGATGACCTTTTTGTTTACCTCTGCCTTGTTCAAGACGTAAAATCTGTCAGGAAAGCAGCAAAACGGCTAAATCGTTTTGCGTCTACTGATTCTCGACATATTTAAGGATTTACCACACTAGAAATGTCGGAGATAGGCAAAATGCAAGGAGTGCATGGAAATGAATCTCCCACCACTGTGGCGGGAGGGGTGGGGGGGTGGGTGAGGAGTTAAGTTCTGCACTTGCATCACCAAGGATCTATTTAGAAATGGGATTAACCCCCCGGGGCAGCGCTGCTGACTGAAGTGTCTTTCGGCCATTCCCAAAGGGGGGACATTAAACAGCTTGAGTTCTTATGCACAGTAAAATGTAATTGAAAAGGGACTGATTCATCAATGTCATGATCATAACTGCCTGACCTGCGACAGGGAACTGCTGCTTCTTCTTTCTTAATTAATCCTTACTATCGTCATTTACCTCTTTTCTTTTATATGTTTGTCACACTCTTGTGACCCGCTATTTCCGTGATGCCTTGATAGTCGAAGTAGACTTTGTGTTGTTGGAGCTAGAGAGGTGAGCAGAGTAAGTCTGATTCCCTGTGAGGACTTCGATCACTGTTGACACCCACCCTTTGGCGCTCATATGACCTTATTAGGTTGCAAGCGCCGTAAAACCTCTACTGAAACTAAACTAAAAATAATTTGGATTAACGAATCCTTGACCATGTATTTCCGTGGAGATATCAGGGGTGTCTTTGACGAACAAATTGGCATCGGAAAGTGCTCCTGTATTCGTCTTTTAGGTGTATGCGTGTTGTGTGTGTGTGTGTGTGTGTGTGTGTGTGTGTGTGTGTGTGTGTGTGTGTGTGTTTGCGTGTTTGTGTATGTGTGTGGGTTTGGGTCTGTGTGCATAGTACATGTATATGTGTGCAAGAAAGAAAGAGAGAGAGAGAGAGAGAGAGAGGCTGACAGACAGACAGACAGACAGACAGACAGACAGACAGACAGACAGACAGACAGACAGACAGACAGACAGACAGACAGACAAAAACACACACATACACACACATACAGAGAGATAGACAGAGAGAGAGAGAGACAGAGAGAGAGAGAGAGAGAGAGAGAGAGAGAGAGAGAGAGACGGAGACAGGTACAGAGACAGAAAGTGAGCAAAGAAATAGGCAGTCAAGGGTAGACAACTGAGGAAATTATTAACAATTTATAATCCCCCTACTCCATATTTCTCTCCCCATGGAAATATTTTTGATAATATAATCAAGATCATCATCATCATCATCACCACCAACAACAGCAGCAATAACAACAAAAACAACAACAACAAAAAAAGCAAAAACAAAAACAACAGTAACAACAACAGTAACAGAAACAAAAGCAACAGTAACAGTTCGGCAGCAGAAAAAGTAACAGTAGACCCTAACGATAATAATATTTAATAGCAAGTATATCATAATATAAAAATATTGCAAATAGCATTTCCATAGCCCATATCCAAGCTCATGAGCAAACTTTATGCGCTTTACAATAACATAATATCATTGCCCCAGCCGACTTTAGAACACTATAAGAAACAAAATATTTGCTTCCCGCCAAGCATACTAACAGTGCAGTCAGCCGATTAAGCTCTCAAACACTAATAAACTGCCACGATTCGAACCCACGACTTTTCGGTTGCGACCCTAGTAGCATTTCTGCTAGACCACCGACGCCATATAAGCAGCTTTAGTTTTTGTAAGAGTTTTACGGCCCCTGCAACACAATATTATGCTTATTATATAAATGCCTAAGAATAAATATGTTAAAAGAGAGTAACATACATAAAAAGGAGAGATAAGGACGATAAATGTTTGACAGGAAAGATGGAGCAAACCTCACCACAGCACCCGCCAACCACCCACATATCAACATCAACAACAGCTGCAACAACAACAACAACAACCGTACAATGAAGAAACAGAAAGACGCAACTATGATCAAGGTCATGGTATTATGCATGATCTTTTAATTGCATAACATTGAAGAGATAACAAAATGGCAATCCTGCCGAGGGCAGGTTTTCAAATCAAGGTAGGTTACAAGTTCAAGACGTGCATTCTGTACATAGAGGAATTGAGGGGAACTGGTGCGGCACACGCATGGGTTACACAGTAAAAACATTCAAAGGTTTGTATCGTAAAAAAAAAAACTCTGTTCGACTGAAAACTTCGAGAGAGCAATATCTCTATTTCCGGTCTGACGAGCTTGCTCTATGTTATTTTCCCCATAACATTTTCTCTGCAACTTTGAAAAGGAGTTGTTGTTGTTGTTGTTTTTTTGGGGGGGGTTGTTCTTTGTTTTTGGAGGGGTTTTTTGTTTTTGTTTTGTTTTTAGTAGTGTTTTTTTTGGGGGGGGGTCTTTAACTTTATGCACTTTTTATATTTATTTACTGGTCCCTTTTTTATTTGATTCCATAAAACAAAAGTAGTCATTTCTCCCCTCTGCCTCCTGTTGTTGTTCTTAGTGGTGATGCTGTTGTTGTGACTCGTTGATTTTGAGATAAAATTGAAATCAATCTTGTTTTTTTTAAAAACAACTATAGTGGGTGGTTGGCGGGTACTCTGGTGTGGTTTGTTCCTTCTTTCCTATCAAACGCCGATCTTCTTTATCTCTCCTTCTAAATTTTTTGTGTTTGTTACTTTTTTGTAACAAGTAATACCTCTAATCTTCGGCACGTATCATATATGACCTAATTGTGTTACACATGCCGTAAAACTCTTACTAAAACATTAAACAAAAAATCTATGCCACACAATAGTGTAGCACTTATTTTTACTAAATTAACCTCTTGTATTAGTGTGCAATCAAATGATCTTACTAAATCAATAAGCTCATAACTCTTAATGCATATTACATGTATATGAAAACACCTGAGTTGTTGCCTCTATGTCACATGAGCAAAGCACGTAGCATTAGCATCTATTTATAGAAAAAATAGATCGCACACATCGCTGTGGATAGACAGAAATTATAGCCTCAAGCTATTTGTGAGCTTGCATTGATTTCAGTTCAAGTATTCGATCTTAAATCTAACTCACTGTCGTGAAATTGTATACATTTGTTGAATCCAAGGCGGTATTTTTATTTATGAAGCTCTTGACATTACTGTTCTTCATGTTGTTTTTAAAGCTAGGAAATTAGATGCATCATATTTGCAGAACAACAATAATAATAATATACATAGGCAAAAAATTGTAGCATCGATTCACATCATATTATCTCAAAACATTACACTTTCCTCTGATGACGACTAACACATTCTCAAAATCGTAAATCCCATAACTATCTGCTTTTAGTAAGAGATCAAGGCACATGATTGAAAAGAAGTTAAAGCATCTGGTATTGACAAAGAACAATGCGTTGTATTAATATTATAATAAAGCATGTCGATCAGAATAATACAATAATACTTGAAAGATTGTGGTTCACATTCAATACACCATCACATTATTTCATCATTAAAAAATTAGATGTTAATGATAATAATCAAGAACAATTTAATATAAAAGCGAGCACTGAAAAGTGGTTTGTTTGGGGGTTTTTTTTAAGGCTAAACGAACCTTTACAAATATTTCTTTAAGATAGTTCTTTAAAGCAGTTTTCAATTCACCAAAATGCAACTATTATCTTAAAATTTTTTATTTAAGCAAATTGTTTACTTACATAATATCGAAACTGTGGATAAGATTAAAATTTAAAGAGGAGTTGAAATATTTACAAAGCAATTCGGGGTTAATAAACAGCAATGCATCATATAAGTCTACACTTCGCAAATGGGCAATAGTTTTCACTCATCTATCATTGCCATGAATAGGGTATTAAAACACACACGCTCAAAAATACAGTCCTTTCCAATACAAAAACAAAAATCATAATAAAAATTTTTGTGGTACAAAAAAACCCGCTGTGAACTGACAAGATTGCAAAAAGTACAGCATATCAAACAGAGAGAAATGAAGCAGTTATTTACATATTGAGAAGGATGTTTTTAAAAATTATATCCTAAGCCCATAGAAACATTTAACAAAAGCAACATTAGCCTATGACACTCTCATTCTGAACCTAAGACTGAAAACTTTCAGCTTTGTGAAACCCGTGTCTTTGAATTGAGTTTTATTTTAATCTCTCTCTCTCTCTCTCTCTCTCTCTCTCTCTCTCTCTCTCTCTCTCTCTCTCTCTCTCTCTCTCTCTCTCTCTCTCTCTCTCTCTCTCTCTCTCTTTCTCTCTCTTTTTTTTCTCTGTCTCTCTTTTTTTCTCTGTCTCTCTCTTTCTCTCTATCTTTCTTTATCTCTCTCTTTCTTTATCTCTGGCTCTCTCTCTGTCTCTCTCTCTCTCTCTCTCTCTCTCTCTCTCTCTCTCTCTCTCTCTCTCTCTCTCTCATTCATTGCACCGATATACCACTCCTTTTATGCAGGCACCTAATATTATAGTGCTACTTGTCACAGAAAGAGTTATTCGTTTTCAGAGCAATGTAGTTGTAACAATCAAAATGTCAACATAAATTAGAT